CACCCCCACTGGCACCAAGGCCAAATTTGGGGGCCAACAGAGGTGAGGCAAAGAACCTCACCCCCCAACTTGTGCAAAGGCCAAATTTGGTGGCCAACAGAGGTGAGGCAAAGAACCTCACCCGCCCACACACTGGTGCAAAGTCCTATCCACAAGTATGACAGTATGCTGAACCATTAGTCAGTGACAAGTAAGATCCAATTGCAATGGTACCAACCTAACACAGGAGGCTGATGCCTTGAGGTCAGCTCATCAGATGATAGGTAAGGACAATATGTAGTATTAGACAACCTAAGACAGGCACCGTCCCTAAACCACATGCTTGTTGTTTAATTAAACAGAAGAGGGAGATGTTGAGAGCCACAGCCGAGTCGGAAAGGCCCCTGGCATTTTGCCAGAAGGAATGGTTGAGAGGTGATGCCAGCGAGCCATTGAGATGATGATAATTAAATTAAGCTGTGTATAATTATTATGACTGGATGATGCTGGATTGAAACAGGCTGTGTATTCAGTTGTATATAGACTCCTGCTGTCTGGCAATAGGGCAGCTCTTGCTCCCTGGGGCGCCCACTACTTTTGAGTTCTCGGGAGTTCCCGTTGAGTTGGTTGAGCTCTCGCAGGGATTCCTGGAGAGTTTGCATTGGTTGGTAAAGTTCCAGTGGAGGGAGTTCTGGTTGGTGTGTGGTGTTCCTGGAAGGGCAGCATGGGTGGCGTTCACGGGAGTTTGGGCAATAAAAGAGTACCTGTTGGAACCTACAAGTGTCTCATGGTGGTTCGATTATTTTGTGCCCAGCCAGACTTCGGCAAGTCTGTAGGTTGAATTTATTTTTTAAAATGATGATAATGGAGAATTAAGGATAAAATGACTTGGTAGAAAATAACATCCCCTACCCCTATGCCACTCTGAGTCATAGAGCAACAATCCTTACCAAGTTGTAGGAGATTGAGAGAATCATTAAAGCCCTTGACTTAAGTTTGTATCAGTGCTGGAAGGTGCCTCCCAGGCAGCAAATAACTCAGCCAGTGAGAGAGCAGAGCACAGCACTATTGAAAAGTTCTGTGAAAATGGACATCTTATAGGTCCTGCAGTGAGTTACACTTAAACAATATTCATTATTTATCAAAGACAGGAACTGTGTTGAAGTAAATGCAATGAATTTATTTTATTTTTTGATATTGTTTATGATGAAAAAGATAAGCACATCTTCAGTTTCTCTAACATGGTTGTGAATGAGAGAAATGAGACTAATGTGACTTTCACTCTCAATTATCATATGAGGCCAATACATTATCATTAAATAAGGAATCTGTACATTTTTCTAAGCATAAAATATACTCATAATAACTATAGTGTGGATATATAATTAATGGTAAATTTAAATGCCTCTTTTGATCCTAGAAAATATATTAAATAGAGTAAATTATCTGGATGGGCAGTGTTCATGAGCGCCACTTACTGGTAAAGTATTTATTGTGTTCCAACTGCCAGTACTATTATCTGTGGCTTGCTCCTGAGAGCAAATGGGAAACAAAAATAAAAAACAAAAAAGGAAAACTTTACCCTCCCCATTTTAGATTCTTCTTTTGAGTTTTGTTTCCCCTCCACAATCTTCCTGCCTTTTCTTACCTTTCTGTATCTTCAGCTACTTGAATTTTTGTTATTTACCTAGAGTTTACAGATGTTTGACAGATGGTCTCAAAGGGTGGTAAATTGCCATAATGGTATGGAAAATTGAATTGTATGGTTTTCACTGAACGGTTTTATGAATTTTTGAATTACCACACGGAGCTTTAACCTCCTGTAAGCTGGATTTATTTGAGAAAAAATCCTGGTCTCTTAGGTGGGTTTCTCTCCTATATGGTACATTTTCCCCCCCACAACTGGCATCTGTAGTTTTTCCTAGGAACCTGTGTTTTCTTGAATTCTTTACTTTCCAAGAATTCCTGATTTTTCCAGGTTACAGTTGTATTGAATTTAAACTTCATCTTCTTCCCCATTTATCCAAGATTCTAGAGGTAACGAATTTCTTATTTTCTCTTTCAACTCCACTGAAAGGTTAGAAATATATATACCCTTTGCCGCAGTCTGGCTGGGCACAATTCAGGAGCCACTTGTCAAAAGAAATTAACTTTATTTTTAGAACTACAAATGCCAAACAAAACAGCTCCTCAGGAAAAA